AAGTTGATGATTGTTGTTGATTCAGATTGTTAATGATGATGATGAAAACAAATTAATTTTTTTTTTGTTGTTCTTGTCTTGTGTTGTGTTGTGTTGAACAAAATTCAAAAAAAAATAAAATAAAGGATCAGGGATATTTCGGGGTCAGGGAAACCCGATCCCCGATCGGGGGTGGGGGCGGGGGGCGGAATTTATCACTTTCGGGGATCGAGGACGGGGAGTGTAGTCCCCGGCCCCACCCCGCCCTGTTGCCATTCCTATGGACAATCGGAACGGACTATACAGACTCTAGAGGATATGCTCAGAATGTGTGCTTTGGACTTTCAAGGGAGTTGGGAGACTTACCTACCGTTGGTTAAATTTGCGTATAATAACAGTTTCCACTCCAACATTGGCATGGCACCATATAAAGCTTTGTATAGCCAAAAATGTAGATCTCCAATATGCTGGACTGAAGTTGGGGATAGGGTCTTGTTTGGACCTGAACTTATGCAGACAACTACCGATAAAATCAAAGTCATCCAACAAAGGCTTAAGATAGCACAGAGCCAAAAAAAGAGTTATGCAGATGTTAGGAGAAGGCCTCTTGAATATGAGGTTGGTGATCATGTGTTCATCCATGTGAATCCGATGAAAGGCTAATTAAGATTCGGTAAAAAGGTAAACTATCACCCGTTACATTGGACCGTTTCACATTCTGGAAAAGCTTGGTACGGTTGCTTATAGAGTTGCTTTACCACTGGGAATAGAACAAATGCACAATATATTTCACGTATCAATGTTGAGGGGCTATCTCCGAGTTCCGTTCCACGTGATTGACTATCACCGAATAGCACTTGATGAAAATATGGATTATAAGGAATAGCCAGAACGGATCATTGACCGACAAGTAAAGCAACTGAGGAACAAATCCATCCCGATGGTGAAAGTGGAATGGAAAGAGCATTATGGTAAGGATGCCACGTGGGAGAAAGAAAAAGAAATGCGACAACACTACTCACATTTGTTTCCAACGGAAGGTAACATAAGTTTGGGGGACCAAACTTCCTAAAGGGGGGAAGAATGTGAAAACCCTACTCTGTGTTATGCTAATTAATCTTAGTTATGCTTATAATTAAATGCCTGATATGATTTTTATTGTTAATTATATGATTATATGTGGATTTGAATTTTTATATGTTCACTGTAGGAAAATCTGTTCCATTTCCTGGGATAAAATTTAAAGTGAAGGTTGTAGAGGCGATAGAAAGCGAAATTGATTGTACCATTGTGATTAGCATAATTTTTAGAGCCTATGATGAAATTTAATTAAAAGTTTATTCGAAACGAATTAATTAGATTAAATTGATTAAATTAAACACAATTAATTAGTCCTAAGTAAGTTTGCTTAGGGAAGAGTATAAATAGAAGCTAAATGTGCTTAAGGTCATTACATGAGCTCAAAATCTGATGAGAAGAATATATATATATATATATATATATATAGAGAGAGAGAGAGAGAGAGAGAGAGAGTGAAGGCAAACTTGAAGAATTAAGCTAAAAGCTTGAAGATTGAGAAGACTAACTCAAGAACTAGCTACAATTTGGAAGATTGAAGCTCCTAAGGTCAAGTACAAGGACGAATCAGGCACCAAAACACTGAGTAATATCTTAGTAAAAGATATATTTGTATATATATTATTTCCTGAATGTTACCTATGTGGTAAGTTCTATTGAATTGGTACTATGAATGGGCATACTATTTGCTTGATTCGAAGTGAAAGATGAGAAGTGATTGACGTATGAATATGAAATGGGCCTAAGCCCATTTGGCTTATTCAATGAGAATGTAGATTGGGCCTAAGGCCGTTTTGCATGACTGCTAAATGGGCCCAATCGAATGAGGAATTGATTGGACAAAGGTTGTTTTGAACACAAGGATGAATGTGAACATGATCATGAATCTAAAAGTGCACACAAATGTGTATGTGAATTGGACCCATGGTCGTTTGCATATAATGGACCGAAGGTCGTTCTATGTATGAATTGGATCCAAGGTCGTTCTGTAATGTGATTGGGCCCAAGGCCATTCAATGTTATGATTGGACCCGAGGTCGTTTTGTGCTTGGATATGATACATTGGACCTAAGGTCGTTTTGCTTTATCATTGATCAACAAGCGTGATTATGGATTGTGATTAAATGAATCTCATTCATGAATTCCTTTACTTTGGTATTATTCACTGGGCGGTAGCTCGCTCTTTATTTATATGTATGTAGGTGAGCAGTGGCATGTCCAGCCCCAGCCCAAGCCCTAGTGAGCCATGAGAAACCGAGTTTTGAGGAGTCAACCAAAGTCGCCTCGCACAAGAGGCCTTACCATGTTATACCTTTTCCTTTTGTTCTTCTGTGGTCGGGCATGACCAAATCTGTATATATCCTTAGTTTTGTTAACACTGGCTTTTGAATGATCTTGGACTCGTGTAATACTTAATATGGATGCTTTTGTGGGGTGAGTTATTTCATCTATGAGAAAGTTTTTGGGTTAAGCCATGTATGCACAGCTCATTGGACAGTTTTGAAACTTCTACTTCGGCAATTTGGCCCCTTATTATTAAATTTGATTTGATTTCTGACTGAAGCCGTAGGTAATCCCATGATTACTGGCTAGTTATGACTCTAACCCATAGGGGCGGGTTTGGGTCATGACACTATAAATCCTCCCTCGACACTTGTTTTTCAGATCCTATTTCATGAGGCCTCTGTTTGTTTGTTTGTTTTTTTTTTTTTTCTTTCCCAAAGGCCTCTGTTTGTTTGTTTGTTTTTTTTTTTTTTCTTTCCCAAGACTTAAAGCCACAACATGTGGGCTTATTAACCTAATTTCTCAAAATTGCAAAATTACCCATCTAAGTAATAGAAATTATATTGCCATCTCATAACTAATTCTTTGATATTACTAAATGACCCATATAAATTAATTTAATTACTAATCTATCTAATAAAATAATTCTGCACATAACTTGGGTTTTACATTTTCAATCCAACCTTTAAACTTTGTATTGTGAAATACAAACTGTTAATTTTCTATTTAAGCCCTTCAATTTTCATAATTAAGTCAATAGAGTCCAATGCATTATTAGATGTGAAAAAAACTATAATGTTATTATTATGTGCTACTTAATTGACCTAATTTTAGAATTTAAACTACATAAAAAAAATAAAAAGATTAACACATGAGTAAAAAAAAAGGAAAAAGAAATCAAAGATAGATGCCCATTTTGAATAAATTATCATTTTATCCTAAATTGTAAATAATTTCATTTAAAACTAATAATAATTTTCACTATCCATGTTCTTTTCTCGTATTTAAACTATTATTCTCTTAATTTAATCTTAAAATTGGATAAATTAACAGGCACACAATAGTTTTTCTCATATACCCATAAGAAATTATTAATACAAGATGCCTTCACATACAGAGTTGATTATTCAAATATTAAGCCAGACTAGACTTTATTAATCTTAAATGCCTTTCCAATATCTACTCTTTCAATCTATGCTCGAGAAATACAAATATCATGAAGCTGGTAAACATGTAAGTTATGAATTGTGACATCGTGTTACCAACTACTTGTCAAAATAAAATAACAAATCTAAAGAATATTTGAGAGCCTAAGAATGAGAACAACAAATCAATTAAGTCAGCACAAAACCCCTGTGCTGAAGGTAAGGAAAATTTCACACATTACATAATTTATGAATTTTGATAAACAAAGAAACAGAAAATAAATTTAGTTAAATAGCAAACTTGTCACAGGAAACTATGACAATCAACTTGGAAACCTAAAAAAACCCAAAAACATGCAAACTGGACAAAAACCTCTAACTGGCCAGAATTACCAAAAAGCTTCACTAATAAAAATGTTAATAGCTTATTACTTTCTCTGTGTTATGTTTAAAAGAAAAGGTGAGAATAGTTTTGCACTTTAATAGCTTAAGAAAACCTCTGTTTTAAACAGAGATTTTCATTTTCATTCATGTAATGGGATATTGTTTAATTTTAGATACTTCTAGATTAGAATGTCTCAAAAATAAAAATTGAAAAAAAATACACCAAATTTTAATGAAGTTCACTAAAGATAACAATAAAAAAATAAAGAAAATTGACCTTTAATGTGTTTTGTAATTTCATTTTTATTATAACCATCTTGTATGTAATGTCACATGGTCTTCTCGAATTAGCTAAGTTATACCTTCGAGGCCTAAAATGCCGCAATGTTGTGCATATACTGCACTCCAACTCATAAAATTTCCCAATGCTCATTGCACAAAATGCTGTCTTTTATGAACACACAAACAATACTAACAAGGTTCATCAAAGTGGAATCATAATCACAGTTTCAGTTCACACATTAAACAAAGAAAGAATGCATATCATCATCACCACGCATCTCATACCCATCAAAAGGATTAGGAAAAGAGCCATGACCAGTGCCAAATGACCTAATATGATCTTTCAGTTACCATTAATAACTAGCTCCAAAAGGACAGCTCATATAAGCATTTCATCAAACAACTTTTATATGCATACAATAATCAAGCAGTTTTAGTAATGAGTTGATCCTAATAGTCTTTTCAGCATTGTACCACAAATTAACAATTTGTAGAAAAAATTAAAAAAAATAATTTGTGATATAGCAAGATATAGCTTTAAAATCCAATCATATTAATATCCTAAGATTCATCAGATCTATTGAATGAAACAAATATCAATTATTCCAACATTCTAAATATTCAAGTAAAATTGGGAAGGAGATCAAATGCTAGAGAATGGAACCAGATCCAACTCAATAGCCACAATCACAAGAGAAAACACAAAACAAAACACACAGAAAGAGAGAGATGAACAATTTGTAAGGAATTTGACAGAGCAAAACCATAACAATAACAGAAACATAGTTAAGCACATTGTAGAATGTATTCCTGTAAACATTCATAAGCTTATGGATAAGAATATTTTACCTTAAAATCGACCTATCTCTCTTCAATGGCGATTCAAGTATATTCTAGATCTTTCAGCTTCGAAGTATCAAGCTAAGATACGATTGATACGAGATCGAGATTTAGGGATTTGATCGAGAGAGAGAGAGAGAGAGAGAGAGAGAGATTTAAAGTTGTTGGTAAAAAGTAATTAATCTTTTTGCAACCAAATAAGTTTGGAAAAATGGTTTGTAGCTCGAATCTCACTTCCCCCAAATCCCTAGACTGCCCAAAACGATGTTGTTTTGGGCAGTTTTTTTTTCTTTTCTTTTCTTTTTTTCCTTATGTTGTTTTGGACAGTTTCCTTTTTTTTTTTTTTTCTTTTTCTTTTCTTTTTTCCCTCATTTATGTCTGAAACGCAGAGAGAATAAGAGGAAGAGGGAGAGAAAGAGTAAATGGAGAGAGAGAGAGAGGGTCGCCGTCGATCGCCTCCGCCTCTGATCGTCGTAGCCCAGTCCCTCCGCCTCAATTGTCGCATCCGATGGTCGTAGCCCAACCCAATTTTGTTTTGTTTTTTTTTTTTTTTTTGGATCTGAAATGAAAACTGTTGGTTGGTGTTGATGATGATGATGGTGATGTTGATGAAGATGAATGGTTGAATTTTTTTTTTTTTTTCTGGATCTGATTTTTTTTTTTTGGAGTTTTTGGTGCTTAATGTTCTTTTTTTTTTTAATTAAATTTTTTGTTTACTGTAATTTGTGCTGATTCTGTTGGATTTTTGAGGTTGCAATTGATTTATCTCTCATCTTTGTTGTGTGCATTTTTGTTGAATTCTCTCTCTCTTCTTCTTCTTCTTCTTCTTCTTCTTCTTCTTCTTCCTTCTTTTTTGATTTTCTTCTTCTGGAAAAAAATAAAAATAAAAATTCAAAGCGACGAAACGACGTCATTTTGATTTCGGGGGGATTCGGGGAAGGGCAGATTCGAGCTACATAGCACAACTGATAAGTTTGTCTTTAAAATGTAGTAGTATTATTCTATATAATTTTTTTTTAATTCTTTCATTTTATCATTAAAAGTATAATTTTTACAGACAAATTATTTTTGTCTCTAAAATTTTAATTTCTTATAGTGTACCTCTGATTGACATTTAACTCGTTAAAAACTTGTTTCATATTGTTAAATGAAAAAATGATATTTTAAGAATCTCTAACATTACTCAACTATTGTTGTCGACATTTAACCCATAAACACGTTAGTGAAGAGAGAGTCCCAAATTAGGAGATACATCTAGGTCATGTTTGTTTGGGCGGACTGGATTAGGTTAGATTAGCATTCATATGACCAATAGTCCTAGGACTACGAATCCTTTGGATTGTGTATCCTATCTTATGTTTGGATTGAGTTAGGATTATAAGGAGGGATTAATAAAATATTATCCAATCTGATGTTTGTTTAAGGGGATTTGAATGAATACGACATGACAAGTTATGGGACATCCAATATATTAACGATAATACCTCCCTATTATAATTAATGTAAAATGTTGCATTAAAATGAGTTATAATTTTTAAAAAGCAAATTTTCATATTGTTGCTCCACATCCATTTCGATTCATTTGAACAAAATTTAACCCACTTTTTTTTAATAGAAAAAATAAAAAATAATTCAACTATAAAATTTATATATACATAAGCAACCATTTTAAAAAATACACTGCTATTTTAATCATCTAATCATTCATTGCTCAAATTCAAAAAAAGTATTTATTGAACAAAATTTAACCCTCACTTATTTTTTAATAGAAAAAATCAAAAATCATTCAACTATAAAATTTATATATACACAAACAATCATTAAAAAATATGCCCTGTTATTTTAATCATCCAACAATTCATTGCCCAAATTCAAAAAGGCATTTATTTAAACAAAATTTAACTCTCTTTTTTTTCAAACAAAAAAATATCAAAAATCATTCAACTATGAAATTGTAGAAATATAAATTCCAAGTAGCATATTGCAAGTCAAGTCCTTATTACATGCATTAGAGTAATCAAAAAAACCAAGTACGTGGCTCTTTTATGTCCTTCTACGTACTTAGTTTTTTTTTATTACTCTAATGCATGTAATAAGGACTTGACTTTTTGCTACTTTTTTTTGTTGAACTACTCATATTTTGCTACTTCATGTTGCAATATGCTACTTGGAATGCTTATTTTGAAATGATGAATGGTAAATTTATATTTCTACAATTTCATAGTTGAATGATTTTTGATATTTTTTTGTTCGAAAAAAAAGAGAGTTAAATTTTGTTTAAATAAATGCCTTTTTGAATTTGGGCAGTGAATGGTTGGATGATTAAAATAACAGGGCATATTTTTTAATGATTGCTTGTGTATATATAAATTTTATAGTTGAATGATTTTTGATTTTTTCTATTAAAAAATAAGTGGGGGTTAAATTTTGTTCAAATAAATACTTTTTTGAATTTGAGCAATGAATGATTAGATGATTAAAATAGCAGTGTATTTTTTAAAATGGTTTCTTATGTATATATAAATTTTATAGTTGAATTATTTTTTATTTTTTCTATTAAAAAAAAAGTGGGTTAAATTTTGTTCAAATGAATCGAAATGGATGTGGAGCAACAATATGAAAATTTGCTTTTCAAAAATTATAACTCATTTTAGTGCAAAATTTTACATTAATTATAATAGGGAGGTATTATGGTCAATATATTGGATGTCCCATATCTTCTCATGTCCTATTCATTCAAATCCTCTTAAACAAACATCAGATTGGATAATATTTTATTAATCCCTCCTTATAATCCTAACTCAATCTAAACTAAGATAGGATACACAATCCAAAGGATTCATAGTCCTAGGACTATTAGTTATAGAAATGCTAATCCAACCTAATCCAGCCCGCCCAAACAAACATGGCCTAATAGCACTTATTCCTAAAGTTGCCAACCCTGAGAATGTGAAACAATTCCGACCAATCAGTTTGTGCAATGTGACCTATAAAATTATATCCAAAATCCTTGTCAATTGTATTAGGCCTATCCTAGAAAATATCATTAGCCCTAACCAGAGTAGCTTCATTCTGAGTAGATCCACTCATGATAACATCAGCATTACCCAGGAAGCGATACACACCTTGAGAAAGAAAAAAGGGAAGGTGGGTTACATGATTTTTAAAGTTGATCTTGAAAAGGCTTATGACAACATATCTTGGAGCTTCCTAAAACAAACTCTGAAAGAGTTTCATTTTGATGGGAAACTGGTGTACATGATTCTGAGTTGTGTCACTAGTGTGAGTACTGCTATTTTATGGAATGGTGAACCTCTTGATGAGTTCCAACCAGCTAAGGGTTTAAGACAATGAGACCCTTTATCCCCTTATCTTTTTGTGTTATGCATGGAAAGGCTTTCTGTTATGATTAGTCAAAAAGTGCAAGGAAAAGAGTGGACTGGTCCTAGCTTGGCTAAGAATGGTCATACTTTATCACACTTATTTTTTGTGGATGACTTGATTTTGTTTGCTAAAGCTAATGATCAAAACTGTAACACCATTTTGAAAGTGCTGGATGAGTTTAGTGCAATCTCTGGTTTGAAGATCAATTTATACAAATCTCATATATTTGTGTCTCCTAAAATTGCAAGGAGAAGAGCAAGAAATTTGAGTAATATGAGTGATATTCCATTAACTCAAAACTTAGGGAAATACCTTGGGATTCCCCTGCTCCACACCAAAGCGAGCAAAGATAATTTTAATTATATCTTGGAAAACCTCAAGACCAAGTTAGCTGAGTGGAAATTTGGTCTATTGTCCTTGGCAGGGAAGGCAACCTTGATTCAATCTGTTACCAATGCTATGCCAACTTATGCCATGCAAACTATGGAGATCTCAAGGAAAGTTTATGATGAGATTGACAAAATAAACCGGAATTTTTTCTGGGGTGACACCCCAGAGAAAAGGAAAGTGCATCTTGTGAATTGGGATCAAGTTTGCAAGATGAAAAAAGATGGTTGGGATTCGGAGGGCTAGAGATCAAAATCTAGCCCTTCTATCCAAGTTGGGATGGAAAGTGTTAAAAGAGAAGAATTGTTTATGGGTGGCAATACTCAAAAAATAAATACTTGGGGCAGCAACCCCTCTTACACAAGAGGAAAGCCAAGAATATATCTCATATTTGGAAAGGCATCCTAAATACCAAGGAGCTCCTTGTTAAAGGGGTGAGATGGAACCTTGGAAAAGGGTCCAAAGTGAGAGTTTGGAAAGATTGGTGGTGTGGTGATGGGGTCCTTGATCAGGACTTGAGCATACCCACCAACCAAATCCCAAACTCTGAGAATATCAATGTGGATTCCCTTCTTGATAAACATGGTGAATGAGATTTGAATCATATGCATAACCTTTTACCTTTGCCTATGGTTGTGGAAATTTTGAAAATACAACCACCCAGAACCAGAGATGAAGAGGACACTCCCAGATGGGTTAAATCCCTTGATGGAGAATTCTCTACATCAAGTGCATATGATTTAATTGTTGATCACCAAAGTCAGGAAGGGAATTGGGGTTAGATATGGAAGCTTAAGGTTCCTCTGAAGCTTAAGAGCTTTGTGTGGCTTGTTCTCCATGAAAAAATTCTCACAAATCATATGAGACAAGTGAGGGGTCTTACTAATGATTCGAAATGCCCTTGTTGTGATAATTTGGAGGACATTGAACATTTGTTACGGCTTTGTCCCAAAGCTGTACAAGTTTGGTGTCAAATATTCAACAGGGAATGGTACTCCAATATGCTTAATTTGTCTTGGAAAGATTGGTTCATTCGGAATGTGAAAGGGACGAACAAACTTCCTCCTATGTTCCTCATCACAATATGGACTATTTGGAAAAATTAGAATAAAATGGTTTTTGAAAATAAACATACAAATACTCATGAGAGTGTGAAAAGTATATCAGATTTTGCTAAGGAAAATTTTTCAAGCATTCAGTTTAGACATTACAACACCTCTCAAATCTAAGAGTCTAACTGTGTGGTCTTGTCCAAGTGCAAGAGCAATCAAGCTCAACACGGATGGTAGCACTCGCCGGAATGGAGGAGGTGGCTGTTTTGGTGGGCTATTCCGGGATGAGAAAGGAGCATGGATTAGCGGCTACTACGGAAGACTCGAGATATGCGCCAGTCTTGAAGCGAAACTTTGGGCTGTATACAAAGGGCTCACAATCATACTCCAACGAGGTTTGAACCAAGTGGTCATAGAAACAGATGCGGAGCAAGTAGTGCAATTGTTGGGTGAAGAATTGGGAGAACGATGTCCCTTTCGGGGCATTGTGGAGGATGTA